GTCAGCATAGCAGCTGCCATTGGGGACCTGGTGAGTGACTGGGAGGGGCTTGAGGGCAACTTCTGTGACATAATGTTCACTTTCTTCTTCTAGGTGTGATTACATGGGAATATTAACTTTGTGAAATTCATCAGCAAATGCTTAAGTTCTAAGCACTTATCTGGGTATATGTTATTTTAATAAAATATCTACTCAAGTAAAAAAATTAGTAGTGTGCTCTACTCCAGTCCACTTATGTCTGAAATTCTTGTGTGTTGTGTCTCTGGAGGCAGGGAGACGTATGTTCTCTGAGCATCGAGATTTAAAAGGTCTCCAAGATAATCAAATGTACAGCTACAATTAATCCACAATTGCAGCCTAGTTTCCCTCCCCTTAAGTGTGGGTTGCTCATAGTGATTCACTTCTAAGGAATAGATTATGACAAGTGATGTTGTGTAACATCAAAAATAGGGCATCAAAAAAGGCTTGTGCTATCCTCCTTGCTCCCTGTTTTCCAGATAACCTGCCCTTGGGGAAGCCAGCTGCCATGCTGTGAGAACACTCAAGCAGCCCTAGGGAGAAAAAATAAATGTTGTTTTAAACCACTTAGGTTTTGGGATAATTTGTTATGCAGCAATGGATAACTAATACACCAGAGAATATCCCTCGCATGCTCATAGACACATTCTGTTGGCCATCACCTGTCATCTGCTGGGCAATAACTAGCCCTTCCAATGATCCCATGAAACCTTTGAGGAAGTGCTGCCATTTCTGGATATGTCTGCCCCTTTCACTGGGATCAGGAGCCACAAAAGTCCCCACTGCCATCTCCTGCCTGATAGCATGTATTTGTTTCCTTCTTTGGTACTTACAGGGGGTGGCACACAAGTGAAATACTAGAGTTGGGTGGTGAAGTAGAAAATAGTGTGAGCTAATCAAAAAGGCTCTGGAATACAGTAGATCTCTGTTTATATCTTGACTTGCCACTTGACCTTGAACCAATTTAATTCTTAATTTTTTTCTTCTAAAAAATTGGGTCCCCTATCTTATGGAATTGTGACAATTAAATTAGGGAATACATATAAGTCAGCACAGTGCCTAAGTGTAAACAAACAGAGAAGCAAATTAATCTGGAACCACACAGCTCAATAATTTATCTTGAGCAAATTACTAAACATCACTGTGGATTAGTTCCTCATCTATGAAATCGTGCTAATAATGGTACCTATTTCAGGCCACAAGGCCTGATGGAGAAACAAACAATTATCAAAGTAAGCAGCAATCTGAGAGATTCCCTAAGGAATAATGATATTTATTTGAGAATGACATAGCACTGCAAGGGACTATGTGTGCCATAGGTAACTATGGGTGTATTCAAGGAGGGAAAGCTTTCAAAGGCAAAAGGGAGAAATTTATGCAAGCTCCTAGGCTACAATGTTCATTGGGTTTTGGAGAACCAAGGCAGGAGTTGGAGTCAGCTCACTGGTGGAGGTGCCATTGCTGGACAAGTGTTTTGTCTAGAGCTGCTTCTATGTATTCTTGCAATCTTAAATGTTAAAGATAAATGTTGTTACAGAAATCTGTGCATATGAAACTTGCAAAGTATTGATGTGTAGAACAAGAGAGAGAGTCTCTTCTGCAACTTTAGTAAGCCCTTAAAGGCAGGAATGAGCCTCACCACTCCAAAGCTAGCTCCAATTTTGTCTGGGTGTGACAGGAGTGATTTCATCCTGGAAGCATCAACTTTCACACTCCACAAAGAAATCAGCCCTCTCTTTATCTAACCAAGACTTTTCTGTATTTTTTTTTTTTTTGGCCTGCATAAGTCTTATCTTTGATCCTTCTTCCCATCATGTAAATTGTGAGCCAGGCTATTTCTCAATTCATCATAGAAATAAAACATTTTTATAAACGAATTAAATATTAATGACTGTTGATATGTAGAAAAATGGGCTAAGTGCTATTGCTTCTGACAGACTATGTCTACTTGGAAAATTTTCTGTTATGCTTCTGGCTTTTATGTAAAATAACAATTCTACTTTCAAGGAAATAAGCAAGTATTTTATTGTGAGCCAAATATGAGTGAAGATGGCCTGGCAATGCAGATTCAAGTTACCCTGAATGCCATGTTCCACCATGGGAGAGATCACATGACATATAGTTCCAGAACAAAAGAAATGCATGTCCATACGTTTACCAACTACATTAGGGGAAGCATTGTATACTTGTATATGGGCTATGTCAAAGCAGGGAGATCTCCAATAGAATTCAGATGTCATCTTATCACACTCTCAGCTTCAGGGTTGAAGGCCAGAGGTAAGCCAAGGTTAATGGTACATTCTAGGAATTTTCTATAGAAATCACAAAGACATTAGATCAGGTACAGAAGTGGATGGCAAGTAGCCATTAAAAGGAGATAGAGATCCCAGGATAACTTTCCCTCTTGAGTGACAGCATTCCATCTCTACAATCACGATGTTCTAGTCAGCCAAGGTCAAGCAGTCTGCAGATCTTTAACACAGAGTCAGCTTTTTCAACTCAGTTCACATGGCTGACATTTGCCCTCTCTTATTCCATATTGACTGCCATTTATTTCAAGATTTTTTTTTTTTTCGGTACTGGGGCTTGAACTCAGGGCTTACACCTTGAGCCAGTCCTCCAACAAGATAGGGTCTCTCGAACTATTTGCCTAGGCTGGCTTCGAACTGCAATCCATCTCTGCCTCCTGAGTAGCTAAGATTATAGGCACAAGCTACTGGCACCTGGGCTATTTCAGTGAGGTTGGGGATGGGACCTGTAATTGGCTGTGACCTTTTTCTATAGGTTCACTTTCTCTGACATATGACCTTAGGGTGGTCATCCCTGTATGCAGTCATCCAAGATGTCCATATTGCCATCAAATACCTTGCCCTGGCATCCTATGTTTGCTCCATCTCACCTTCATATGATGAACAGTTTGTATACACACTCGTTAGAACCTTTACAATCCTGACTATCAGATATTGGTGGGTTGGCTGCCTCTCTGCTTTCAGTCAGCTTCCATGGTGGACATGGATAATTGGACTTATCTCCCTGAACTGTGCTGAGGCTCATGGGACACCCAGAGGTTGCCCTTGACAAACACGTCTGGATACCTCTTGCAGTCATTGTGATTGTCCTGGTGTCCAGGGCTTCCAACACAGGCTTGACATCTCTGTGGCAGGCTCATCCTGGGAATTGGGGTGCAGCTCTCCTCTTATCTGGGACTTGCCAACCTAATAGCTGTCCCTTAGATATACCTCCATGTTATTCACAATTATCTCTAAACATGGGAATCTGGATAATTTTTATTTTCTTACACACTTTTATGTTTTCTGTATGCTTTTCCATTTTATAAAGAGCAATATTACTTTTACAATAGTAATAAAGTAAAAGTGTGAATACTTCATAAGTGATTACTGAAATATTGTAAATGAAGGTTAAATGTGTTATTCTGTACACCTGATTTTAGCCAAAAGGCCAAGAAGCAATGGGGAATATATTATTCTATAAATGGCAGTGGGAAACTTCCCACTTGAGGAAACATCACTTTGGATCCACATCTCACATGATGAATTAAAATAAATTTCATTTGTCCATATAATACTAATTCTGGATATCTAGCCCAAGAACCTTATACATTGAAATATTAATTTTAATAGAAAGGAACAAATTATCAGAATGGAGAAACGGCAGAATAAATGATCACAAAACAGAATAATTTACAACTATTAAAATTTTACTGTAATAAAAGTATACCAAATTAAAAAAATTTTACTGTAAAAGCAGTTCTTTGTAAAATTAATTTTATTGTTTTTACATTTACTTACATGTTTATACATTATTTCACAAAAGCAGTTTCAAACTGATGTTTTAAAAAATATATAGGAAGGTTTTTTTGTGATGGTAAGTTTAAAACTATATTTGCAGTGTTTTAAAAACCCATGCACAGACATATATACAGAGAAAAAAGCCTGGATTGGCAATGGTATCTCGGGTAGAGGGACTAAAAGCAATTTATATTATCATATTTATGATCTTTTATGTTTTTCACCTGGCTCATGGTAATTATATAATATTTGGTGGGGGCCTTTTAGAGGCAGGCTCTTGCTGTGTAGCCCAGGCTAGCCTTGAACTGGAGATTAATTTGCATTAACTTTCTGATGGCTGGGATTACTGCACCATGTGCAGCTAGTATATAGCATTTTATAATCACAAAGATTTTTTTAATAGGAAAAAAGTTAAGAGTTCATTATAAACATAATTGGTAAAAGCCCCAAATCCTAAATACATAAATAAATGAAGAATATTAGTGTTAAGAAGATCCCATCGAGGTGGTTAACAGGTAATTTCTGTTCTTTGAAGGGAATTTTGTTTTTTCTTACAATCTTAGGGAAATGAGTCAAGTACAAATTAGCATGCACTAACCGAAGCATGGCCTTGCACAAAGGCCACCACAACCTTACACAAAAATACTTCTGCAAGGACATCTGCCCAACAACTCTCTGTTTAATCTTAGATTGAAGCCCCCGCACCCTTTACATATCCTTGCAGCTAGGATTATTGTGTGAAAATAACTTATGTAAACCTCTTCACTTTGCCTTTGAAAACTTGCCCTTGCCTCAGCTTCTCTGAATGCCGACATGATTCACTATAGTGTGCATCCTCACTGTACGGTCCATCCCCAAATAAACTTACTAACCTTTGGAGACTCCGGCGGTATGTTACTCAGGTTGACAAACCTTTAAGTATCACTCACACAGTAATTCATGTATTTTGTACTACAGAGACTTTCTACTAGGTTATTATGTTTAATATTCATTCACAGGAACCAATCTGATAAAAGACTGGAAGGGACTTCCTGTTCTAGTGCCTGCCCTGGACTCCAGCTCCTCCCTCTATGGCCAGAGCCACCTTCTTAACCAGGACATAAAACCTTGCCGTCTTCTTAACCAGGACATGAGACATCTGCCTGCTTGCTTAGAACCATTTCTGCACCAATCATGGCGACCTTTGTGGAGCTCAGCACCGAAGTCAAGATGCCCATTGTGGGTCTGGGCACCTGGCAGGTAAAAATGCAAATCTTGGGACACCTGCTTCCTGGAGGGTCATTTTCTCCTCTCGGAATTCAGTGGGGCGGGGGATGGAAAGATGAGATTTCAGCCCTAGAGCTAGGATCCAAGTTACTTTCTTTCTCAGAGGTGCTTCAGGATCCAAAGCTCCAAGACTGGCTTTCCCAGCAGTGACAAGAGCTTCCCTAGCAAGAATCAAGTTTCAATCTGGTGGTCATCAAATCAAAATTGTTTTCAGGGGAATTATTTTCATGCCAGGCTTTTCCTCAAAAACCTCCCTGGCTCTGGGACACTTAGAGGGGCTCACTGTTTTACATATCTGAGTACTGGGTTTATTGAAGACTAAGTGATTGAGAAGATGGAGAACTATGAAAGCCCTGGCATGCCTGCTGCTCATGCCGGGGGTACTCTGACCAGCAGCATCAGTGTGGCTGTCAGCTGGCTGCAAATGCAGAATCTCAGACCCCAGCCAGGCTGCTGAATCTATGTCTGCGCTTGATGTTCACCTTGAAGTCTGAGCAGCACTGGGACCACACTGATCTTGGGCTGGGGTCGGGAGCTCATTCCACCCTGGCTGTATTAATATCAGCTGGCAAAATGCCCTGAGGCACACCCCAGTGACCTCTAATATGGATTTATGAACATTTTTGGGATAAGTTTGACATTGTTCCATCACTCTGACTTTTACTTATTTTTATTTTATTTTATTTTTTTGCCATTTCCCTCAATGACAGCATCACTCTCAGTTTTTGCAGGAGCCATCTCTGGATCCCTTCTTTTCCTGTCCTTCATGGCTCATCTTGTTGGGTATTCCTCCTCCATCTCTCTTGTCTTCTTTATCCCTCTTTGTTTCAGCGCTGGGCGGATCTCAGAATACATTCTTTCTCAGTCTGGGTGAGCAGGTCAATGCCAGATTGATTCAGTCTTAGCCTCTCTTGTTTGAGCAGGACGATTTGTCCCAAAACAGAACTGTAACCTTTTATGTAGGAGACAAATATTAGCTTCCAGATAATCCAGGGACCCTACTCATCCTTGGTAACTTTGTCAGGTAATAATTTTCAAAAGTTTGACATAGATACAAAGATTTTGAAGACATTGGGATAAATACCCCATTGCAGGATTATGTGCTGATCTGTGGTGGTGAAGGGAGCTGTAGGATTTGAGAGAGGAACTCTAGGGTGCTTCTGAATTGCCAGCAGCAATTTCTTGGTCCAGTGGCAGTTGTAACATTATATCTTTGTTTTATGTGCTTTTCAATGCTGATACTTGACAGTGGAAAAAGATATAGTGAGAGATGTTTTATGGGACTTCCCGCTCATTTTTTTTGGCAGTACTGGGATTTGAACTCAGGGCCTCATACTTGCTAGACAGGTGCTCTTACACTTATATCACTTCACTTTTTTGTGATAGATTTTTTTTGAGATAGGGTCTCAGAATTTCCCCAGAACTGGCTTTGAACCATGATCCTCCTGATCTTTGCCTCTTGAGAAGTTAGGATTACAGGCATGAGCCACCAATGCCCAACGTCCCCCAACCCCCATTTTTTTGCTTGGCTAAGTTAGATCAGAATGTCATATTTCTAATGCTCTTTCTTTCACTACTTTTGTTTTCCTTTATCCCATTTTTAAAAAAGGTTTTGTATTTCTTCTTTGCAGAAACAATAATTATATAATGGATTATTCTACTGAGCCTTACTGTGTATGCCAAAAACTTTACATTCACTGTTATAAGTAATCAACAGAAGGATCTCATGAGGTGGGCTATTATTATTCTTATCTTGTGATCAAGGATCAGAGAGATAAAATTTGCCCAGGCTCACATACCTGCTTTGTGGTAGAGGTCTGATTTGTCATGCAATGACCTTTTAACAGATCTTTATCGCTACCTGGAGTCCAAAAATTTTTCTGGGTCCCTTGAGAGTCTAGTTTTCAGGCTGGCCCTTAGCAATTCCATCTATCTAAACTAACACTTCAGGATTAACCTGCATTAGAAGGGAATTGACTTTTAGCTAGGATAGGACATGGGGTAGTAATCACAAAATTAATACACTTTTTTCTTTTCTTTTGAAAAGTTTTCCAAAGAATGTTTTCCTCCCAGGCATCCTCTGGAAAACAGGACCTTGGTTTATAGAAACTGAGCCTGTCTAGCCTGTTGGAAGGGGTCCTAAGATAAGAGCATCTGATGGTGTTTCCTTTCAGTCTAGCCCAAGCAAAGTCAAAGAAGCTGTGAAGGTGGCCATTGATGCAGGATACCGCCACATTGACTGTGCCTACGTCTATAACAATGAGAATGAAGTGGGAGAAGCAATCCAAGAGAAGATCCAAGAGAAAGTGGTGAAGCGGGAGGACCTCTTCATTGTTAGCAAGGTACATATGGCCCATTTGGTGGGAGATTTGACTTCAAGACAGGTGAAAGTATTTGGATGTGGTCAGCACCAAGAAGTCTATGAGTCTTTTCTGTAAGTTCAGAAAAGTTCAGCTCCTTCATCTCTGCCTTACCGCATCTCCAGATGCACACCCCAAACCAGTATGTGGAAGATGCTGCTACTGATAGGTAGCAGTTTGGCCATAAGAGGAGACAGGGAAATTATATTATTTTAATAAATGTTTAAAAGGCCAGACTCTGACATTGGAGGAAGGAAAGCCAGAGCAGCTAGTGCCCTCCTATCTTTTAGATGGTAAGTTATAGGAACAGGGAGACAAAGAGGAGCTACCTGTTTCTGCTTTCCTCTTTGAGATGTTAACAAGCTACCAGGATACTTGGATGGGTAGAGAGTAACAAAAGGGAAGTTCTATAGCACACCTATTTTCTCTGTGATTGGGTGGGTTGTGGGTATGAATGGGCATGCTTTGGGAGGGTGACCTCTCCCTATTTTGTCAGTCATCTCAGCCACTCAGACCCATTATCTTTGACCATGTGTATTTCTCCCAGCTCTCCAGTATAAAACTATGAGTTGGAGACCACCATTTTGAATTTTTGCTCCTATTTCCTGTTCCTACATTTGGGGAACAGGAAATGTCTCTCTCTCTCTCCCTCCCTGACCCTGTTGTTCTCACTCTAGAGACAGTCCGCTTTTAGTTTATTGGAAGTGTATGCTTCTCCTAATAAACTTTACTGTTACTTTTACTAAATCTTTGCATCTTGAACCGAGGTAATTTTCAGGACCATTTTTTTTCCGGGTAACAATACCACCCGCACCCAGTCCCCACACCTCCTTTTAGTTGGATTTCACATAGTGGAGATGGCTCCATAGAGCCTTCTGGTGCCCTTGGCCTTCTGTTTCCTGTCAGTGGGTTCCATCTGTCCAATGGTAGTCACGTAAAAGGTAAGTTAGACATTTCAGTAAAAGGTAAGTTATAAAATGTTATTAAAAAAAGAAGGAAGTAGGTGTTTAGTGTGATGGGGTTAAGAATTGTTGTATTTGTATTATACACAACTTGCTAAAAACCACTAGTTTCAGAGTCACAGAAGATACATCTGGTGGAACAAATAGACCTACTGTGCACTATGGCCATGTCTGAGTAAACTACTTGTAACTCATCATTTGGCCTGATAAGTTTGGAGATATGGGGGAGCAGTAAGAAAACCACTTGCTCTCGTGGCATAAGATGCTTGAAATATGGATCGGGAAATAGCTCATTAGGTACAGCACTTGCCTAGCATGCACTAGGCCTTAGTTCAACCTCCAGAACCACACACGCACTCCCCACCCCTCCACACAAAAATGTGTGAAATTTAAAAGCTAGATATAATTCCTACCCTCAGCGCACAGACAGCCAAGGAAAGGGAGAACACAGGTACAGAACTATTTAGTAAGTAGCCAAACATGATACATGATCTAAGTAACATGATGAATACCAATTCCTCTCAATACTCAGAAGCTCTCATTGACTTATTGAACCCTGCTGACCTTGCACACTGGGTGGCACGAATTAACCAACTTTCTTTTAAACAACCTGTTCTCAGGTTAGATCAGGCACAAATCACAAGGCAGGAGAGTGACTGTGGTGCAGCCTTTTCTTTCCCCAGTCCTCATGCCTCTTTCTTGCACTTTGCAGTTGTGGCCTACCTTCTTTGAGAGAAACCTACTGAAGGAAGCTTGTCAGAAGACCCTCAAGGATCTGAAGCTGCACTATCTGGATATCTATCTCATTCACTGGCCACAGGGACTTAAGGTTCGAGCTCCTTTCTGCCCCAGTCTCTAGCTTCTGAGCAGACAGATGCCAGAAATGAGTAGCTGTGCCAGGGCTGGGGTGTGGTGGTAACAGAAATAGGAGTTCTTATGCAGAGCAGAAAGGCACTGGCCTGGAAGGGAGGCTGAGACCATGTGTGGGTGCTTGGATGGTCAATGCTTAGCTTTTCTTACAGCTATGTCTGAGAGAAGTTATGATTTGTGGCAACCCAAATAAGCTGCAACTGCCATATTGCCTTCCTCTCAATTCTATGCCCAGGAGATCCTACCCCACAGTATCTCTTGAGATACTCCTGCAAAACATATTTCAGGGCCCTACCACCCTGTGAACCAAAGCATACCCAGAGAGTGACATCTTGGAGAAAGCCCAAGAATGGTGATGCTTGAAGATGCTGGTACTCCCTGCAGAAACAGTTTTTTGTTTGCCCAGTATTTGGCTATTCCAAGGTCAGAGAGACATGAATTTCTAGGCTTCTCCTCTCATTACCAGCTAGGTGATGATAGCATGCCATCCTTGACTTCAGCCATCTAGAGGTTGCCAGGATGGAACCTGGGTAATATCTTCTCTAGAAACCTTTGCAACCTTATCTTGTTTAGTGACCTTGAAACTAAAGTTTACTCCCAAGTTTACGGGGTGGGGGTTTAGCTATGCAAGGTTAATGTCCATGGTGATAACTGTATCCTCTAGAGTATAATGACAATGGATTTTTAAAATCATTCCAGTACTTCCTGAAATATAGGGATTTACATATTGTGACAGACTGACATAGAGATTTTACTGAAACTTATTTTCTTGAAGTGTATTCTCCAGAGCTTGAAAGAATGGTATGCTGGTTTGAGCATTTATCATAAATCAATATCCTCCTTGTTTAATAGGATCAGATATCCAGGTAAAGATTCTAATATACTTTTTGTTCTGCATTTACAGCCTGGGAAGGACTTATTCCCCAAAGACGATGCAGGCAATTTGCTCACCAGTAAATTAACATACTTGGATGCCTGGGAGGTAGGTTCCAGCTTCTTTTGGGTATGCTGGAAGAGAGAACTTTCCTTTAATCACAATTGAGTCTCCACTATGCTATGAAAAAGCTAATGTGCCCAGTGTCTAATTTCATCTCTATTTTTGTCCAGTTCTTCTAACTCCTTCCTCATGAACTCATGGATTTGGGGTCCATCTGACCCTATTTACATTTTTAAAGTTTTATAAATGAAACTGTGGACCCTCAAACAATTCAATAAAAATCTCATGAACCACCCCAGAGAAGAATGGAGGGGAAACATGTAAAGAAGTCAAGATGGATCATACATCCAAACTAAACTTGTAGCAGGACACAGAAGAACCTTTATATTATCTCATTGCCCACTCAGGAGTTCCAGGGACCTCTGGTCTCATCAGTTCTGAAGTCATTAATTAGTTTGAAGTCTTTCCTTATCAACTCTAGTGGTTCTCAACTTTGTAATAAAAATCACCAGAGGGGTTTTTAAAAATCACAATTCCTATTCTAGATCAGAGAGGAAATCAGGAAGCCCTCTAAGAGTGGAACCTGAACATCAAACTGTTTTAAAACTTTCAATGGGTTCCAAGTTGCAGCTGAGGTTGAGAATTCTTTCTGCTTGTAACGCTCTCTAAGCCCTTGCATCTTGCCTTCACCTCCAACCTTCTCATATTTCTCCCTCTTTCTCCATGTTATTTTTCAAAGGTTAGTCTAACCCCATTTGTAAAGCCTCACCTGGGATCCACATTAATTCCTTCCCTCTTTCCCCTCCCTGATTCTCAGTGCTGTGCCATTTCTTCAGCATGGCAGCCAATTAATTGGTCCACAGAGGAGAACTCTATCAATTTAATTCAATTGTAGGACTCTCAGAAGCAGGAAAGGTATTATATATACTTTTATATATTCTGACAACTCCTGGGCAGGAACAGAACATGCACTAAATAAAGTATAGAAGCTTCTTGAACTTGAGGCTGCTGCTCACAGGTATGGTATCTTTGGGCTAGTTTGGAGAATGCCCATTATAGGCTAAAAATTATAAAAAAAGATACCATTCCTAGGGATGGACAAGTGTACAGTGGGCCACATTTCATCCCCATTCCACCTGTGGCTGGGTGCCTCTGCCAGTGAACAGTCTAACTGTATGAACTTCCCCCACTGCAAACCAAACTGAGGTTTGTGTGGAAGAGAATGATCCAGATTCCAGACAAGTGATGCCTCTTCACAGGCTTCAGCTCTTTTCCGGGCTAACCAGACTCACATGTTTGGGTGAGGCAAGAGCAACAAGTGTGGAAAATATTCCCCTTTTATTCCTAGCTGCATTTGGGCTGAGGAGAAGCAATGTGGCAGAAACCAATCCTTGATGGGCATCTACTTCCTGGATTGAAATTTCTTTTTAATGCTTTCGCTTAACCTGCATAGTAGATTTCTTATCCATTTCTCCTATCTTAGAGAAGACTAAGCCAAGCTGGGGTTCCTGTAGTCCTTTCTGGACTGCACAAAAGGTATTCCTTTCAATGACAGGTCATGGAGGAGCTGGTGGATGAGGGATTGGTGAAAGCTCTTGGTGTTTCCAACTTTAACCACTTCCAGATTGAGAGGCTCTTGAACAAGCCTGGACTCAAATATAAACCAGTGACCAATCAGGTAAATTCTGTTGAGTAAAAGGGTCTTGCCCTATGACTTCTTAAACATTTGGAAGCAAGTTTAAAGCTGTATATTGAGTCTCATCTCACAGGTAAGTGACAAGAATGCTTTTGAGGAGGTGGGAGACAGATCTCTGTGTCTGGTATAGCAAGTCTATTAATGGGCATTGTTTGGCCTTTCCTTTGTGGGTTTTGTGTGTGTGTGTGTGTGTGTGTGTGTGTGTGTGTTTATGAGTGTAGAACTCCTATGACCTGCTCAAAAACAGGCCAACTTCCCCAGTGATACAGCTTCTTCACTCTTGCAGGTTGAATGTCACCCATACCTCACCCAGGACAAACTGATCCAGTACTGCCACTCTAAGGGCATCACTGTCACAGCCTACTGCCCTCTAGGCTCCCCAGAGAGACCTTGGTGAGGTTTCTGAGGGATGAGTTTTCTTGATACTCTTAGAAATATTATTTTACAATTGGTTAAGTAGGTATTACCAGATAGAAAAATGTGTCTAAGGTAATTTGTTTTACACATCCCAATGGAATTACAGTGGAAAAAGGTGTTTTTAAAAAATGCAGCATGCTTGACTCTATGGGAATACTCCAGGTCTGACACCCAGTGCAGGACCAACCTTTGCAATTTGATGAGGCTTCAGAGCCCATGAATGGGTATATGGGAAAGACACAAAATTTTCAGGTCTCAAACTTATCTCTTAGGTAAAACTGTGATGTTCACCTTTGAGACCATCATTGGAGTAATGATATCTGCATATAGAAGCAATAGTGATTATTCATACCATCCATCTTTCTGCTTCTAGGGCCAAACCAAAGGACCCTTCACTACTGGAGGATCCCAGGATTAAGGAGATTGCTGCAAAGCACAATAAAACCTCAGCCCAGGTACAATATAGTTTTTTTTAAATCCAGCATACCATTCTTGTAGTCTTGCATTTTATTATTACTGTCTTCACTGAATCCCTTTGAGGGGAAGGAAATGGCAAACAAAGTCCATCTGTGCTTGCCTGTAAGTCTATTGGGGTCCAGAAACACACCAGGTATTACTGAATCAAAGGTGGCCTCTGTCCATTGGTTTCCTGCCAAGCCCTCAAGCTGATCCACAAGAGCATGGCTTTGGATTCAGATGCCACTGTACCATGTCCCAGCCTTGGGATGCCCAAACCACCCTCTTCATTCCTAAACAGGGGAGTCAAAGGATTGCTACTAGGATTAAGATAGAAAAGAGGAGTACTAGAGAATGTCTCCAACTATTAAATGCTCAGTCAAGATTAGCTTTGTAGCTAAAGCCACAGAGCTACTGTATTTTTCCTTTCAGTAGAAGGAGGGTTCCTTGTAGATAAGTGAAAACATGCTGTCCTTTCTTCCTGTGCAGATTCTGATCCGGTTTCATGTCCAGAGAACTGTGGTAGTGATCCCCAAGTCTGTAACCCCGGCACACATAGTTGAGAACTTTCAGGTAAGACATTGGCTGGTCATCTAGTATTCCTCAGTGGGGCAGGGGATGGGGTGGCCCTCACACTGGGCTTTTCATCCCATCCCTGCTTTGTTTGTGTGTCCATCTTTCTTATTACCTTGTCAACTCTTAGGCCAGGGAGCTGGCCTCAGTAGTGCTGAGACGAATGACCCATGTGCCAGGGATGGACTGGAGGAGGGACAGGAGCACAGTAATGGTTTATATCATCAAGAAGGCCTTTGCTTACCCTTTAATAGTTAAGTTATAGGCTACACACAAATGCAGACTGTTTTGGCCAACCTGCCCACCTTCTAGCAGCCTAGAAGCTATGGACTGGACTTGAGAAGTGTCCTTCTGGAAGAACCAGTGTCCTTAGGCAACACTGACTTTGCTCACCCTGAGGTTTCGTGTCTACAAGCCCAGTCTCCTGCCTTTTTGAACACTGAACCGAAATAGTGCAGTCTTTGTGTGTAGAACCTAATTCAAATATAATTTGTATCCATGGAAATAATGGAAAAACTGCTGTGGCCCTCATGTGCTGTGAATATGAGCTCACTCCCAGGAGGTCTTAGATCCGAGTCACCTTATCAAGAATGCTTTGAAACTCTTGCCTTCCTAGGTCTTTGACTTCACCTTGAGTGATGAGGAGATGGCTGCCATCCTCAGCTTCAACAGAAACTGGAGGGCCTGTGTCGTGGCTGAGTAAGTAGCATGGGGTTAACTAAGAGGATCATCAAGAGGTTTTATAAAGTTGTAGAGAATTAGTTGGAAGGGTTACAAAGCAGCTGGAATGACTTTTGTTTTCAAATGCTATTTCTGGTAGTTTTGAACTATTAAAACTGGAGTCTCTGGGAATCATTATGGAGAAAGACACATTCTTAATTATTGCTCATTCTCTGGTTTTTTGGGTGGTACTTGGGGTTTGAACTCAGCCCAGGCACTTGCTAGCCAGGCTACCACCTGAGCCACTCCTTCAGCCTTTATTGCTTTAGTAACTTTTCAGATATTGGCTCACATTTTTTGCCTGGGGCTGGCACCTGACCATGATCTTCCTACCTACCCCCCAACACAGGCATGCACCACCGTGCCATACTTGTTGTGTTGAGATGGGGTCTTCTGAGCTTTTTGCACAGGCTGACCTCAAGCTGTGATCCTCTTATCTCCCCCTTCCAAGTAGCTGGAATTACAAGCATGAGCCACTGTACCATCTCATTCTCTGAACTTCTTGATGTAGAGCTAGAATTTTAGGATAGGATTGGTGGTCATTAGCCTGTAACACGTAGGAGGCAGAAGTATTCATTTATTACTCAATAATTGCTTGCAATGTCACAAAATTCCTACTTCCATAGGCTAACATGCTAGTGAGGGGGAACAGATGTAATTTAAAATACACATGTCAGATGGAAAGGCCATCTGACCTTGAAAAACAAAGTGGAGTGATAGAAAGTAATGGGTCCTGGAGGAAATGATAGCTTATATGGGGTGGATGGGGCAGTTTTGTTGACAAGGTGACAGTTGAGCTGAAACCTGAAGGAAGTGAGGGACAAGTCTTGTGAAAATTTGGGGCTAGAACATTTTTTGCAGTGACAGCAGCAGGTGTGAAGACCCTGAGGTGTGGTGTTTAGAGCATTTGAGTAAGATATTCAGAGAGGTTGGAGCAGTGAGTGAGAAGGTAAGAGGAAATGGAATCAGAGACAGGTATGGGGCTTAAAGAATGCAGGTGGTATAGACCATGGGAGGACTTTGATTTTGACTCTGAGTGAACTGTGAAGCCATCAGAAGGTTCTAAGCGAGGTGTGGCATGAGCTGACATGTTTTAAAAGAAGTTCATAGGCTTATGCCGTGAGAGATCAGGGAGACTGAGAGTCACTGGGTCATGGTGATAAAGGTGATGAGGAAGATCCCATTGAATTTGCCAACAAATTGGCAGTCAAAGATGGTGCTTAGTTATTGTTCGTTTGCTCTTCTTTTTGCCTGAGTAACACAAGAATGGAGTTGCCATTTAGGGGAAGAAATCAGCTGTTTGGTTTGAGATATGTTTGTGATGCCTTTGGATACAGAAGAAGAAGGTCAGATAGAGATTTGGATGTATCAGAGAAAGTAGTGGGTTGTGGGCTCAGGAGTAAACCTATCTGGCTTCTAATCCCAGCTCTACCACTTACTTGTGGTATTTGGCTTTTAGCAAACTTCTTAACTTCACCATGATGGTTTCTTTATCTCCAAAGTAGGGGAGATAATAGTAATTACAGCGGCTATCCTCTCAATGTTAGCTTAGCATGTGTCAAGGATCTGATGCCCTTTGGCTGTATTACTATCTCATTTAGTGCTCACAGCAATTCCAATGTTGTGAGAATGAATTGAGACAATGTTTGAAGGCAGATGACTTGGCGCCAGCCTTCTTAAGAGCCACCGGAATTAACTTCATTCTGGTAACCTGGTCAATACTTAATTGCCCTTCTTTCTCCCATCTATTTGCGGGAAGGTCAAGGCACGAGACCCCTTCTTGTGTTGTCACAAAGTCTTGGGGGGTGGGTGGAGGGCACGCCTCTTATACCAGAGTTGTTTTTTCTGAAACTTTTTATTCTTCATGCTTATTGGCACAGCACAATTCATTTGGAGGATTATCCTTTCCACGCTGAATACTGAAGCTGAATGTGCCAAAGAGATTACTTCATGGCTTCCCTCCCTTCGCTGAAATGGAACTCACTTCCTGAGTCCTATTTTTTAGCCAAGCCTATCTGAGGTCATACTGTGTGCCAGCTTTGTAGGCCACAAACTAGGCAATGATGGATTTAGACCTGTGTGTTCAACAAGAAGCTGATTGTCACAGGAAAGTACAACGCAGATAAGCCAATGATTTTTTCGCTACTTGTCTGACTAAATGTTTGTTAACAAACCAGAAACTTTGCTAACACTGGTAATACAAAGATAAAAAGAATAAAATATGACAATATCAAGGATCATGTATTGACAGTTCATTGTGCACCAACACAGTGTGAAGAGCTCTTTGAATGTGTGACCTCATTGAATCCAACTCTTATCTCACATTTTACAGAAGAGGAAATGGAAGCATGGGGAGGCCAAAGGACTTGTTCAAGGCCACCAAAGTGGTAAATGTCCAAGCCAAGTTAAAGAAAGGCAGGCTTCGGGAAAGCTTAAGGTATTTGTTGTTCCTCCCAAGTTTTCTGGCCCCCTCCTCTTGCCTTCCTCTTCTCTTTACCCTTCTTGCTCACACCTTGCTTTTAATATGCCACCAGAGCAAAGAAATCAACACAGATGATGGAATAATCTTTGACGTTCAGGAAGGTGCCAGTGTTTATTGTGACATCCTTGGAGATTGAATGGGAGATAAGAGCAAGTCTGGACAAGCAAAATACTATTGCCATTAATGTAGGGCTTTTTTTTTTTTTTGTGGTACTGGGGTTTGAACTCAGGGCCTACACCTTAAGCCACTCCACCAGCCCTACTTTTGTGATGGGTTTTTTTGAGATAGGTCTCATGAACTATTTGGCTGAGCTGACTTTGAACTGTGATCCTCCTGATCTCTGCCTCCTGAGTAGCTAGGATTATAGGTGTGAGCCACTGGTGAACACATTGTTATGATCAAAAGAAATGTTCAGCTAGGCATTCTTAGATCCTAGATGCATTACTTGTATGGATCAAGGTCAGAGAAATTGTAGAAAGGTTGTTTCTCTACTAATATTGTAACCAATGAGGAGGGATATGCCTAGGAGAAATGCAAGTGCGTGCTTTCTTAAAAGAGTATTTAGTATAACAAATAATTTTGTTGTCCTAGCAGTTTTGCAGTCCTAGCTGTAGATTTTTTCTTGCTTTGGGCACATGTCACCTGTCCCAATTCTAGTCTGCCTCGCTCCTGCCTTGCTTTAATGTGCCATCATGCTAAAGAGTCACACCAGAGATGGCAGAGTCAATGAAACCCACAAATTACCAGTGCTTATTAAGAAATAGATGGCATCCCTGAGAATGGGTGGGAAATAAGGGTGAGTCTGAACAAGAAAGTTACCATTAATATGGCAATTTCTTTTTTTTTCTGTTGTATTTCTTGTTATGAAATATTGCAATTATCTAGAAATATACAGAAACTAAAAGAATGAGCATCTGGCCTTATAGCCACTCAAATTTAACAAATGCTAACATTTTGCCACATTTGTTACAAGCACTTTTTCTAAAATATTATTGAAGAGCATTAAGGACCACTTTGTACCTCCCCCATCTCTATGCTCCTGACTCTATCCCAGAGTCAAACTCCATCCTCAGTTACCAAATCACCTCATCCTCTGCTGGTCATGGTCTATTGGCTTTCAGACCAATTCTCCACCCTTGCCCTCCTCCATTTTGCATGATGGTGGAGGAGTCAGATGGCCTCTTCTGAGTTTGCTCAGTGCGGGGTTGGAGGGCTGGAGAAAGGAAAAACCATATATTTTATTTCTCTTTCTTTCAACTCTTCTCTCTCTCTCTCTCTCTCTCCCTTGAGTGATGTCTCCAAAAGAAGTCGCATTCCATCTGTGTTCCTAACTCTTGCCTGGCAGCCTCCGCGTTGATCTGTCTCCTGCCAGAGGACACCAGAAAACAGTTTCTGTGATTAGGAAACACCACTTCCTCCCCTGTCCTCCATCTGTAGGGACTGTAGTCTCTTCCTGCTACTGCTACCTTTTTGGTTGCCTCACTCCTCCATTTGTTATCCCAGCTCTTCTGCAAGTGTGTAACCAAGTGTTTCAGTTAAATATCCAATGTTCAAAAATCATAGCATGGTTTCTGTTCTTGTGAGTGGACCCTTGATTCATACACATTCTATCCACATCTTTACTATTTACGTTCACAGCCACAAATTATCAATGGGATTGTTTGGATGTATACAAAATGTATAAAAATTTTATAAAGGAAGCAATTTTAAGCTAGAGCCCAGTGATATTTCTTTAGTGCACATTTCTGTGAATAGTTTTTCTCTCCTGTGATTGTATGATTTTCTTGATAAAAACTTAGGTTTTTGATGCACACCTATACTTCCAGCACTTGTAGGACCAACACAGGAGGTTAGGGAACTTGAAGCCAGTCTGGGAAAAATAGCATGTTCCAGGACAATCTGGGCTACATAGTGAGGCTTAGTCCTGAAGAAACAACAAACAAGCAAACAAAAAAGCCCAAAATTTAGGTTATAAGATTAAAAGTTTGGCTTTCTTTAATTAACAATATGCCCTTTTAATTTCACTTGAATTTAACAGAGGTTTAAAGAAAAAAAAGCAGGTTAGGTACAGTAGCTCACACCTATAATTCAATCAATGGGGAAGGTGGAAATTGGGAGAATCACAGTTCCATACAGCCCAGGCAAAAAAAATTACTGAGCCCCCATCTCAAACAATGAAAGCTGGCCACAGAGGTGAGCACCTGTCATCCCAGCTACACAGGAAGTATAAATAGGAGGACCGTGGCCAGGCCAGCCCAGGTATAAGGTTAGCCCCTATCTCAAAGCAAAAGCCAAAGCAAAAAGGGCTAGGGTAAGGTTCAAATGACAGAGCCGCTGCCTAGCAAGCACTAGGTCCCAAGTTCAAACCCCAGTACTGCCAAAAACCAACCAAACAAGCAACAACAAAACCACAGACAGATAAAAGGAGAAATGTGCTAATAAAAATAATTTCCTTTTATTCCTGATTTTATTTTCAGCATTTGCATCTTGAATAATGAGAACTTTGCAGTCTTCAGTATCTTCTTCAGTTTAAAAATTCTAACAAATACAGTGAATTCATCCCAAAATGTGTTCACTGTTTTTGGACTCAAAAGCCACCATGATGGGGAGAAAATCTGAGGGTATATACTACAGTTGTGCATTAGATCTACTCTGCTCTGTGGTTAAGTAGGGAACTTGTTTTCTGAGAGGGAGGAAAAGGGAGTGTGGTCTGTATTTTCTCAGGACATCTAAAGAGTCGTATATCTCCAAACTGGGATAGTGCAACAGTTCAAAGAATGAGTAAGATGAGTTTTAATAGCATTTATTACAAAGCAGTAGACAACAATAAGGAGGGATATCTCCCAAAGAGCTATCACCTGGGAACCCCCAAAGCGTCCAACAACCTCAGCACCCCCAACACCAAATTCTTACTTATATGACTCTAAGTCATACCAGAAATCTGGGGCTGTGCCAGCCAAGGTCAAAACAGTGGAAGCACCTATGGGCCCAAATACAGGACACGGACCCTGGGAAAGTTACATGTTTATGTGAACTCTGTTTTTGTTCTTGTTTTGCTATACTGGGGCTTGAACTCAGGGCCTACACTTTGAGCCACTCCACCAGCCCTTTGTGTCTTCGAGATAGGGTCTCGCGAACCATTTGCCTAGGCTGGCTTTGGACCACAATCCTCCTGCTCTCTGCCTCCTGAGTAGCTAGGCTCACAGGCATGAGCCACTGGTGCCCCTCTGTTTTTGCTCTTATCAGGCATCTTGCTGACCCCAGAAGACGCTATCTGACCATGGGAAGGAGTGCTGTAGTCTGGCACGAAGAACTAAAGGATGGAGTTACTCTGGCTAGAAGTCTGAGGACAAGTCACACTATATAGAGAGTAACTGGGGAGAGGAGAAAGTGAACTGGGCATGGAAAATAAGAGAGCTGGTGATGGGAAGCAGAGAGGAAAGGAGTGTGTCCTCATGTCCCAAGCACTACCCGTCATCTGGGAATGGCTGGAGAAATGGACACAAACTACTGTGGAGATCCTGGAGTCATTGTGGCTGTCCTGCAAGTCCCAGAAAATAGAAGGACAGGACTTATCCCATTGGTGAAAAGAAGCAAATGCTGGGCAGATAATGCCAAACTACAATTGGAACCTAAAGGGATGCGTGTCTCACTCAGATCCCATGACGCCCAACTGCCCAGCCCCCTTCAGTCACATCAATAGCCTCCTGATAATTCAGCATCTCTCATCACTAAACACTTGGGTGCTACTTATTGTGTAATCAAGAGATTTCACTTCATTTTAGGGAATAAAAAGGCATACAGATTAGAGTGTCTCTTGTCAAAAATAATTTTTAGTAAAATTCAAAAGGATCTCAACAGTAAAATTTTTAGAAATAAACATTTTTGGCTTTAGTAATGAGTATGCATAACTATAAAATATAAACTCTGAAAATAAAAAAGTTGTGCAAAAATAATAGGTGGTAAACATACCATTTGGAAAAAACTATTTGCTGTTGATGTGACAGAAAATGAATTGGTAATTTCCTTCTGATAAAAGAACTTACTCAAATCAGTAAGAAATATCTCAGATGCCAAAACCAAAAGTGGTTATTTGAAAATGGACCAATAAATGATATGAAAAATGACAGTAACCAAAACTGTAATTTAAATCAAGCTATTTTCACTACCAAGTCAATAGAATTTAGAAATAAAAGGAAAGTCTATTTAGAAAGATGTAGGTGATAATAAGTTTTCTTTCTATCTTATAGGGTAACAATTTAAATTCATTTTTGTTATTCTTTTACAAGATTTTCACCCTAACAAGCACATTTATAATCAGAGAACCATTAAACATTTTAAAATTATCAAATGAGGGTTCAACCCAATTAATTATCCCATGTATCCACTGGGAAAGCTAAATAAACACTTTTATTTGAAATTAGTCTTGTTCAGTTGGCCT